AAGTTTGGAAGGATGGTGAAATCACCTCAGGCTTTTGCCATACGTGCACCGGAGGCTACCTCCATGGGGGATATTTGATGAGGTGACAGGTTAAGAGCTGGCCTCAGCTTCTGATCTACTCCTCTGACTACACAGAGCAAAACAGACCCCCCTCATGAAGAGGCTTAACTCACATCCTCACCTTGCAAGGTAGAGGGACAAGATCCTCCTTCTCTGGGCTCTCTAATTCCTGAAAGAGTAGCAGGGACAGTTTTACAATGAAGCTCTTACATAGCTGAGGTAATGCTGGAGCTGCTTGGCCTAAAGACAGGAAGGGCCTGAGCTCTGAGGGGTTATCACCAAATGCAGAGGGCTCTGTGGGAAGGCAGCTGGTGTTGAAGGCTCAGTTCAAAGCTCCAGTGATACACTTGACCTAGGTACAGAGGACCAAAGCCAGGGTAACCTTTCTTGCTGTCTTTGCTCTTTCCCCACCTGGCTGTGGGACTCCTAGCATGCAAACCTGGGTTTCTCCAGGAGACAGTGGACTGACAGCTCTACTGCACAGGAGCCTGGAACCAAGGGGCTGGCACATAGTAGGGGCATGAGGCGTGTGCAAGGCCTGAATGTTTCATAAAATGATGACCCTCAAGGGGACCAAAGGCTGAGCACAGCTGCCTAAGCGGCTTCATCCCTTGTGGCACAGGGGCTGAGGCAAAATGAATGCTTCTCTGAAGTCACTGGGGGAGGGGGTGGAGATTTTCAGGGAGCTGGGGTCTCAACTTTATTTTTAACTCTAGGCCATCTGCTTTCCACTTCCCACCGGGTGGGCCACAGTCTGGGAAATATTCAGAGTGAACATATGTCACTCCCGGAGGGTCGTGGGGGAGGAGGTACTGGGAGGAGGCAGAGGGCCTCTGTTCTCAGGGACTGGGCCACCAGGTGTGCCAGCAGGACCAAAAGCAGCCTCCTTGGGGCAGCCTCAGCCATTCCGTTCTCCGGGGAGGCAGCCCACCTTGGTGTATCTGCCAGGCTGAAACTTGCAGGTACACCTGAGCTGCATAAGGTGCCTGCCACAGGCAAGGAGTACAGAGACCACCCGCGCATTCAACCCTTCAGGGCAGAGTCTCTGACAGATGACCAACCTCTAACAGGTCCCTCCCTGCTCTGAGAGATGTCCCCCTGTAGATTAGGGTTGGCGATTTCCCAAACTCATCCCCTTAACTCCCCTAGGCTTTCCCAGTTCCTTTAACTCAACAGCTCTCAAGCACACATTAACCACGAGGGGAAGGAAAAAGAAAAGGTGTCCTTTTCTCACCAGTTAACCCCAAATGAACAAGCATTGTCTACCCTGGCTGGTTTGCTATCCAAAGTGATCACACAGAAGGAACTGTCAATACTCCGTCGCTGTTATACAATGAGCCTGTGGTTAGCAACGCTCAGCTTTGCTTTATTATTGCATTTTACGAAGTTACCAAGACAACTGAGGCCCAGTAACAGAACCTTGACTTCATGCGCCATGAAAATTTAATAAAGAATTTTGAAAGGCTTTTAAGAGGTGGGAGCTGCAGCTTCTTAAAGGCATAGCTGGGCACAGAGGGAAGTGGACCTCAGCTGCGGGGTCTCAGTACACTTGCAGGAGCCTCCCAGCCCAGGCTGGTAGGAGAAGGCGGGGGGAGATTCCCTGGCATCTGTCACTTTCAGCATATGGAGACCATGCCTTTTCTCAACAGACATTTGTGAAGACGTATCCCAGATGCCAAGTCTCATGCCAGGCTCTCTGCATCTATTTTGACATGATCTCCAGTGCACAGGCGAGGAACGGATGGGGCATCAGGGAGGGAAAGTCACCAGTCCATGGCCTCTTAGCAACAGGGCAACAGACCAAGCAAAATCTAGACCCAGGTCTGACTTTCAAGAACTATGGCCTCCTCCTCTGGCCTGCCCATTCTGAGGCAAGACAGAGAAAATATCTCTGCAGCCTGAGTGGGGCCTGGAAGAATCATGGTGGCCCAGGACCACAGTCCTGGTCAGACCTGTTGGAGGAAATGTTTCCCAAGAGCCTCTTGGTAAGCAGGTTCTGTTATACTAGGACCACAAAGAGCCTGTTTCCTCTGCTCTCTAACTCAAACTCAGAAGCAAATTTCCAGAAATGAGGAAAATATTAGCGATTTTACCATTTTATACCGAAGCTCAACTGTGCTCAGCATGTATGCGTGCACGCGTGTGTGCGTGAATAAAGCAGTACGCAGAATGGTTTTTCTAGTTAGAGCAAAAAGGGAGACTTTCAGTTAAAAGGCGGAAAGACCACTGAATGGTGCCCATTCTGCAGTTTGTCTCTGAGAACGGAACCAAAATATTGCATTATTCTGTGGGAAATTTGGGTGGAAAAGTTCCTCACACATTCATCAAACCAAATGGGGGCGAGGTGGGTTTCGGGCTACTGCTCACTAGTGAATTTCCCTCCCTGTGTGGACAGCTCGAGGCTGCTGGGAACACATCTCTCTGATGGAGAGCTCATGAATCATGAGGTTTAAAAGACACACAGTGCCGAGCATGGCCAGCCCAGGTCTCAGGTACACAGCCCAGGAGTAACGGACATTAATCAAGAAACTAAAGGGAAAAAGGGAGCCATTTTGACCAATACTCTGCCAATTACATTGCAAACTCCAGACATCTGAAGAGCGGCAGGGACTAGTTTTCAGCCTATGAATGTCTTTTTTTTAATTATTATTTTATTTTTATTTTATGTGTATGAGTGTATTGCCTGCATGTATGTGAGTGCACCCGTGTCGTGCAATGCTGTGGAAGTCAGTAGAGGGCTTCGGATTCCCCTGGAACTGGATGGAGCTAAGGATGGTTTGTAGCCACTATGTGGGTGCTGGGAATCGAACCCAGGTCCTCTGTAAGGGCAGTCAGTGCTCTTAACTGCTGAGCCATCTCTCCAGGCCCAGGAATGTCTTTAAATATGTGCAGCTGAAACACAGCTGGGAGGGAGGGAGGGCAGGGAGCCAGTTCCTTTGCCTTCATTTGTCTTGACGGACATTCTAGGAAGCTTTTGCCTTTACCCTATTACACGTGCAGGAATCCAGAAGTCCGTCAGAAGGTGACCAGATATCTCAGAAGCTCTTTAGTTTGCAAAAACACTTCTGCATTGACTCTGTTTTCCATCTTTGTGCCTACTGCTCACAAGACTAAGTGAGAGAGGGCAGCACTCCCATTTGGGTGGCTGAGGACCTAGGCCCCTTATAAGTCTGTGTAGCCCTCGGAGTCTTCCTCAGGTGCCAACAGAAGAACATGTCAGAGGGCCCAAGGCCTTGCCCCTTCACACCAGGTATATGGTGCAGGAACATGCAGCCTTCCTGCCAAACAGCTGCCATAACTGCCAGACTAGGGTTTGGGCAAGCAACATCTTTCACTGGGTAGCTGAAAGGATTAGATAAGATGAATTTAAAAGTGCCCTGTGAAGTGTGAAGCACGAGCACGCATTGTTAAATTCACACAAGAGAGGAAGTTTCTAGAACCATCTAGAAAGGCATGGAGTATTCTCCAAATGCCTGTCCAGTCCCACTCCCCAACTATCTGCATTCATAGCAGATCACCTGCATGGTGTGACCCCCCCCCCACACCCTCCACACATACCAGTGCAGGCTGAGAAAAGGGAGACAGGCTAGATGATCCAGTGGGAAGCAGGGGGAGGGCCATCTAGCTTGACAGTCCTCGGTTTCCAGGGCTGAAGGAAAGGGGGTGCCCCCAGGGAATAGGACTCAAGACCTGAGCTGAAGTTCACATTGAATCTAGTTGTGGGGAGACTCAAGGGTCAGAAAAGGTATTGTCTACTCAGGGGGTTGTGGGACAATTTTCATGCTTAGAGGAGAGACCAGCCAGCTGGGAATCTGGAGATGGTCAGCATTTGCACAGCTACAGTGAACCCAGTGTGTCCTTGAAGGTGCCGATAGCAGGCTCCCTTCTTGGCCAGGCTGGTGGGTCACAGCTTCTGTCTCAAATAGCAGAAAAGCTGAGTCTAGTCAGCAGGCTGGGATAGATCCTGAGGGCCCTTCTAAGGAAGAGGCTTAAGACCACAGCCAGTCATTGAGTACTCCAAGCTCTGCAGAGGTACATCTCTGGACCAGTCTGGGCTCTGTACTTTTCCTGCTAGGAAAAAAGGAACCACCTGCATTTCTCTCATTTCAATTACATCCTGAAAAGAAATGAGGGGCTGGTCACCAAGGGAGGGTAAGGACAGTGGGATGCCCCTTGGGAAACAGAAGTGGGGAACAGTCTCATAGCACTCACTCTCATAGCAGAACAGCCTCGAAATTCTACTCAGCAGTCCTAGGGTGGGAGCGGGGGGGGGGCAACTTGTCAGTGATGGGATTCCCTGTCACTATAGAGTCATATCTTCCAGGGTATGGAGCCTCCCCAGACCCTGTGCACGGGCTTGAGGGGCCTGTTTCCACCACAGAGAGGCTCTGTAATTGACAGTGACCTGCATGGGTCTAGATGATAGGTATGGGGTGGAGAGGTCATTTCTTACCATGAATGCTGACATTTTCATATCACCTCAATGTAGCTGAAATTCAACGTCTTGACAACTGCCCACCACCAAGACTCTGCTCCATGTTGGCAAGTGCTTTGAGAAATAGTGTCAAGTTGGAGCTCTCTTTAACAGACCTTGCACAGCTCTGGCTGGTTGACCAGTTGCCCACATACCTCTACTTTTGGTCTTGGCTGTGAAATCTATTTGTCCACCCAAGGGGTCCCAGAAAGGAAGACACAGGTCTTCAAACTCTGCTTCTCATAGTAGACCACTTGGGAACACTGATTGCTCTGGTTAAGGCCACCACACACTCTTGTTTGCCCTAGCTCTCATCCGGGCCTCTTGTTCTCCCCTTTGAAGGCCCCTTCCCTCATCCAGGGTGTCTAGCACATTGCTGGGCACACAGAGGCTCTTGGCCATTGGGTCAGCACCCCAACATTAGAGGGGTCCATTTGGAGGTCACAGGCTACCTGGACAGGGAAGCTGAAGAACCTACTTTTGTTATTTCTTAATTAGCAAGAAATCAAACATGGCAGAGATAGGCAAGTTAATAAAATAAATGAGGTTAATCTGTCAAGTACACCCATGTAGCACATGGTCAGAGTGTCCACCTTCTTGATATTTCTGCTTCTTTTCAGAGAATAGGTGGAAAGAGACATGATGATCCCAAGCTCTGACCGGCAGGCTTTCTCATAGGCCCCAGCAGACCCCAGTCGTGGCTTCCTCAACATACCCGCAGCACTCTGCTTTGGGATGGTCTGTCCTTCCCTCCCCTACCTCGCCCCCCTGTGGCACAAGACATAGCAGATCTGCCCCAGTTACTGTTTTCCGTGAGCTTGGAAGAACAGGCACCATCTGTCACATCTCAGATGTCATATGTCCACCGGTAGGGTGGGTCACCAAGAGGTGCTGTGAGGGAGGGTGGCCAGAAATTAGCCATGTGAGGTGAGAGCCCTGCAGGACACAGGGAGGATTCATGGGATCGCAGCTGGAATCCTCCGCAGTTGTGGCTCCCTGCTGGCGAGAGCCCAGGGCACCCAGTCCCCAAGGGCATGCCTTCTTCCTGGAGGATAGGGTGGCCTTCTTCAGCACAGAGCGCGTTTGGAGTAGGAGAGCTTGTTAGCACCGATCATGCGGGGTTTGGGGCTGCCTGCAGCTGGTTTGGTTGTGGAGTTGCTCTCCTGGGGAGGGCTATTTTGGTGGGGGTAGCTCCGGCTGCACACCACGCGCTTTTCATCCAGTAGGGACAGGTGGTATTCACACAAGTCGATCAAAGAAGCCACCTGCTCATGGAGAGGCAACATCTTGAACTTCCTCTGGGCCAAGAAGAAGAAAGCTTCTACAAACGCCTGCAGACACATCCCTGTGGACAGAGAGATGTTGTCAGGGAACTTGTGATGCTTCAGAAAGGTGAGGCCGCTAGCCAGAGCCACCCTCTCTCCCCACCACATTTCTATTCTGGAAACTCCACACAGGATAAGTGCACACAGGGCCAGGCACTCAGAACCTAAAGAGCCCTAGGAAGTAGGTTTAATTACCCCTCCTCCAGAGATGTAGAAACTGAGTCTCAGAGAAGTAGGGAGACCTGAGTAGTAGTATTGGTGGCAGGAATTAAATCTTGCCCCAAATCTTATCCCCAATGAAATGTCTGCCATTAAAATCTTGTTCCCCGACTTTTAACATTAGAGGGAAAGTTCTTAAGATAAGCCCAATGCTCTCCAATAGGGGTTGATAGGGGTGTGTGCAGCAACTGTATTTTAAGTATTTAAGTATTCTTAGATTTTTAAGGTTTATACATTTTTCATGTAAATCTTACCCTAGAAAGATAAATAAACCCAACCCCTTCTCTTTGGTTGCCATGTTGTGAATGCGAGCCACCCGCCAATACACACACTCACGTGTTGTCTACGTGGTTTCCAGTGGATGATACTATTTTGGTAAGTTCTGGAAACTTCAGAAAGTAGCACCTACCTGAAGGAGTCTGGTCACTGGAGTATGCCTTGAAGACCATGCCTGGCCCCCAGCCTCCTCCATTCTCTATTCCTGTCCCCCACAATGTAACCACCCTCCTCTGTCACATGCTTCCACTGCCATGATGTTTTTCTCAAGTATATGGGGCCAAGGCACCATAGATTAACCCCTCTGAAACCATGACCCAAATACTTTCTTCCCTCAAAGCTGTTCTCTGAGGCATTTTAGTCACAGCTACACAAAAGTAACAAGCACGCTAGTGAGAGTTAAGTCTGAGATGCATGATGTATAACCTCAACTACGCCCCTGTAATTCTCTTCTCTGTTTGTCCCATAAGCTCCTACCCACATGTCATAGTTAGTTTCAGTCGTCTCCTTGACACACCTGGGAAGAGGGAACCACAGTTGAGGAATTTCCTCCATCAGAACTGTGGGCATGACTGTAGGGACATTTTCTTGTTTGGTAATTGATATAGGAGGGCTCGGGCCCCTTTGGGCAGTGCCATCCCTAGGCGGGTGGGCCTGGGCTGTATAAGAAATGTAGCTGAGCAAGCCAGAGGGAACAGACCAGTGAGCTTCAGTTCTCGCCTCCAGGTTCCTGCCTTGAGTTCCTGCCTTGGCTTCCCCCTATAATGGACTGTAACCTGTAAGTCAAATAAACCCTTTCCTTTCCAAAGTTGTTTGTATTCATAGTGTTTATCACAGCAACAGACAGCAAACTAGAACACCACCCTTGGGATCTGAGCTCACACTTACTTGCTCAGTAAAATTTCCTTATCCCCAGATTAGAACTGGATGGAATTCCTGGTATAGACTCCTTGCACATATTTTGTGTGTTTGATTTTTGTTTTCAGTGCTGGAGATGAAGCCTAGGATCCCAGGACCTGCGTATGCTGGGTAATCACTCTACCACAGAGCTACATACTCAGCCCCACCCCCTTTTGTATAAAGACTTCATTTTAGAGCAGTTTTAGGTTTACAGACAAATGACCTAGAAAGTTCCTACAAGCCCCTTGTCCCACATATCTTGCAACAGCATGTCATACTTGCCAAAGCTGATGTGTCGATGTGGAAACACTCCACTAAGTGGAGCCCATCTTTGATACCAAGGCCCATTCTTTGTGTGGTGTGGTTCTGTGAGCTTTTGGCAAGTATGTTGCCAATGGCAAAGTCACGTTTCTGCCATTATGACATCGTGCAGAATACTTCACTGCCCTGCAGTTCTTTGGCTTCCGCCCACCCATGTCTCCTCCACTCCCCCAAACCCTTGGCAACCACTCATCTTTTTACTATGGCTAGAGTTTTTCCAGAGCAGACAGTTGGCATCGTGGGGCTTGTAGCCTTTCCAGACTGGCTTCTTTTACACAGCAGCTTTATTTAAGGTTTATTTATGGCTTTTAGCTTACTCCCTCCCTTAAAAAAATTAATTCCTTTTTAGGTTAGTGTGCAAATTATTGGACTTCATCATGGAATCTTTGTATTTGCGTTTCGTTATGCTCTGATCCCCCTCTTCCCTTCCCCGTACTTCCTCACCTCCTTCAGTTGGTCTCTCCTTCCTTCCCCCAGTTAGTTCTCCACTGAACTTCCCCTATTACGTGCATTCCTTCATCCTCTCTATTTTCTGTTTCCTTAAGATCTCTTCCTTGGGGCTGGAGAGATGGCTCAGCAGTTAAGAACACTGACTGTTCTTGCAGAGGACCCGGGTTTGAATCCCAGCACCCACATGGCAGCTAACAACTGCCCATAACTCTAGTTCCAGGGGAGCCGACAGCCTCTTCTGTCCTCCGCGGGCATTTCACGACATGGGTGCACTTACCTACATTGAGGCATAACACTAATACATATAAAAAATAAAAATAATAAGTAAAATATTTTTTTAAAAAAGATCTCTTTCTTCCCCGTCATGACCCCCTTTCTAGTTTATGACCCATAAACACATGCATACACACACACACACACACATGCACGCATGCACGCACGCACGCACTCATGCACGCACGCAATTTTAAATTTAGGACCTGCATATGAGAAAATATGAGGCAGCTATCTTTTTGAGTCAGTCGAATCCATTTTCCTGAAAATGTCCTGGGTTCCCTTTTCTCTCTGGCTGTAGAAATTCCATGGTATGCATGCAGCACATTTTCTTCATCCATTCAGTTGTTGAGGGACATCCAGGCTGGTTCCATTCACTGGCTATTTGAATAGCGCAGCTATAAACTTGGATGTGCAAGTATCTCTGTAGTATTTTGAATCAGAGTCCTTTGGGTGTATACCCAGGAGTGGCAGTTCTAGTTTTAGTTTTTTGAGGAAGCTGCATACTGGTTTCCACAGTGGCTGCAGCAGTTTACATTGCCACCAGCAGTGTATAAGCATTCCTCTTTCCAACAACCTCACCAGCATTTGTTTCCCTTGTTTTTTGACTCTTCTGACTACTTAAAGCATTTATTTATTTAGTAACTGTTTGTGTGTGGGTGCACACATGTGTGCAGGTGTGTGTGCGGAGGCCTGAGGTCAACCTTGGTTCTTCTTCAGTCCCTATCGACCCCATGTTTGGAGTCAAGGCTTCTTGGTGGGACCCGGGGCTCATCAATCAGGCTAAACTGTCTGGCCAGGGAGCCCCAGGGATCTCTGCCCATCTCCTCCTCCTCAGTGCTGGGATTATAAATTTGTACCACTATGCCTGGCTTTTTATGTGGATGTTAGGGATCAAACTCAGGTCTTACTTACACAGCTATCTCCCCAGTCCTCAAAACACTTTTAATTTTCATTTCCCTGATGGCTAAGGATACTTTCTCAAGTATTTACTGATCATTTGTAGTACTTCTTGTTTTTAAAATATATTTTATTATTTTTATTTTATGTGTATGAGTATATTGCCTGCATGCATATAATAGTGCATCTATCATGCAATGCCACAGAGGTCAGAAGAGGACATCGGATCCCTTGGAACTGGAGTTACAGATGGTTGTTAGATGCTATATGGGTGTTGGGAACCAAACCCAGGTCCTCTACAAGAGCAGCCAGTGCTCTTAACCACTGAGCCATCTTTCTAGCCCCTGTAGTCCTTCTTTTGAGAACTGTCTATTCAGTTTATTTATTGATTGGATGATTTGGGGTTTAGTGTTTATAACTTTTGCTGTTATTTATATCTCCTGGATATTAAGCCTCTGTCTGATGTGTAGTTGGCAAAGATTTTTTTTTTTACTATTCAATAGACTGTCTCTTCACTCTGGTGAATGTTTTCTTTGCTGTGCAGAAGCTTCATAATCATGTAATCCTATTTGTCAATTCTTGCTATTATTTCCTGTGCAGCTGGAGTCCTGTTCACAAAGTCTCTGCCTGTGCTTATATCTCCAAGTGTTTTCCTTCCAGCCCCCTTCTTTCCTTGCCACACCTACTGCAGCTTGCTCAGTGTTTGTGTGGCCCTTTGTGTCCCTCTTTCCTGCTTGATAATGAGCTCTAGTTTGTCACTATATCACAGTGACAGGTGCCCAGAAGGCACACATTAAGGATATACTGGATTTGTGAGTAGATGGCTGGGTTGGTGGACAGAAGAATGAGTTTGTTGGTCCCAGATGCTTTATAGACATTGTCACTGACCCTCTCGAGACCCTTAGGCGGGGGTCATTACTATTCTGCTCTACTTTACAGATCAGAGAGATGAAGTAACTTAGGGTCACAGCCAGAGAGCAATAACCTGGACATTCAGTTTTTAAGCTAATGTGTCTTATGTGAAAAGTTTCAAGTCTTCCAAATGTCAAAATGAAAATGAACCCCAGGGTCCATATCTATGAATTTCCCAGGGATCCACAGAGAATGTATTCCTAACACTAAGTCTAGACTGAGTTAGTACCTTGCAGCCTGTTAGCCCAGGCTGGCTCTGCCTCTGCTGATCCATACCTGTCCTAGGGTCTGTAGATACTGGCTTATGTATGCATTCTGGGATCTGAGGATGCTTTTTGCCTTGGAACTTTGAGCTGAGCAAAGAAGTTTGTTTTTGTTTCCTTCCAAGTCCTTGACTTCTCTTGACTCCAGATGCCCTGCAAGGCCCCTGCTCTGTTTGATCTCCACAGGAGGAGTTGGTAAAGAACGTGGGACTCTGGGAGGGAAATGCTTCCCATGTAAATAGAAGCCTGGTATGGATGGACAGGGAAATGGGGTCTCAGTCTAACTAAAGAGATAGAGGTACCCCAAATACAGACTCTGGACCAGGTTTTCCTAGGGTGGGCATGTGCATGTGTGTTCATGATCATGTACATGTCTGAGCATGTAAGTGCATACATGTATATGTCATAGTTGGTTGGATCAGATAAACAGTAGAAGATGCTGGGTTCTAATGCCAGTGAAATCTCGCCCTCCCTGAGTCCCATTTCCCAACCCTGTGGTCTAAGCA